CCGTACACAGCTTCCGAAACTTTTCCTATAAAAGTGCCAATCGCCCGTTTAAAATGTTTTTTGTTTATCCGCGTTATAATTAGATCTACCCTGGAATGCTTCTCCAGCTAGTTTAAAATTTATTACTCGCAAAAAACTTTATTGGTTCTTGTAAAAGTTTGTACATATTTTATTCAAAAGGCTCTAATGGCGTTAGTTTTGCTTAATACCGCCAGGGGCAAATTAATCGAGTTTTAATTTTCGTACCTTTAGGCCGTCTGCCGCGTGACTTGGTAATTCACCGGAAAAGTTTGAAAAGCTTTAAAAGGTCCCTTATCAAATCCGACATGTTTTTTTTTTGAAATTTTAAAAATAAAAAAATTGTAAGTCTAATAAAAAATTATTTTATTTGAAATGGCACTTCAACTGTGCCACAACATTTCTGGGCACTTTTTCGCTCTGATAGCTATTAGACAGAAACAAAAATCTCACATACGTATTCATAGAAAATAGCTACACTAAAATTGTCATAGTGAAAATAGTTTTATATTTTAATTTGACTTCAAATAATGTATGATTGGCAAGTGTGTCAGTGCCGAACATTTTCAATATTCCTTGTCAATTAAATTAAAAATGTCAAATAATAGTCAGAATTCAATATAGGTGTTTAATAGGTGCCCTATTTCAAAAATTAAAGTTGGACTCAAGCGCGGTCTTTGAGAAATGTTTATGTTTATGTTATTTGTGTTTATTGGTCTGGCGCCCATTTCTCTCCTAGAACGAAATAATGTATTTCGGGCATATCTCAAAGGCAATTCTTTTGAAACTTTTTCATAGATACTAGATTTTTTGGGTCTTAACCTACCTCTCGCAAAAGAGTTTGTATATATATATATATATATATATATATATATATATATATATATATATATATATATATATATATATATATATATATATATATATATATATATATATATATATATATATATATATATATATATATATATATATATATATATATATATATATATATATATATATATATATATATATATATATATGAAATGACCCAAACTGATATGCAACTTTCGGATTCTGGTCCTCCTGTGACCAAATATTGAATTATAAATAAATGTTCATGATAATTTTCAAGTTTTATTGTTTTATTTCATTTTTTTTTTGTTTTATTTATTTGTTTATTGACTTGATTAGTAAAGTAATTCCATTTGCAATAGATACAACGGATGTTTCAGAAATCTAGAGCGAAATTGATATCTCTAACGTTCTGGGTGCTAAGCGAAAGAAATTCAAATGAATCGTGCTTTGCAACCTCAAGTCGCCTGTAGAAAAAATAACATCATAGCCCGATATCAATGCCCAACTTACATCAAAATTTAATATAATGTGGTGGCTAAACGATTGGAATGTTACGAACATAGATAAACTGAAAACTCTAAAATCCTACGTAGAGAAGCTAACCGAAAGGAACTTCCAATAGCTAAAACACTTTATGAAAATAAATTTTAGGCCAAATCGGTTAATTTTAGATGATACTGTAACAATTTAAGCTGCGTCGGTTTTTGTTGAGTCGAACTAGCTAACGTTTCGGCAATCATCCTGTTGATTTCTTCAGGGCTTGACTGAAACTGGCCCACATTTTACTCTGTATCTGCTTATATATTGTTTAAGTGGGGCGGAGCTAAATGAGGGGCATAAACACCGTCTCGGATGACTGATTCTCATATTGCTGACAGGTAGAGACCTCAGTTGCGGTTAAGATTGTTAGGTTGCGTATAGATTTATATAGACTTATTGTGTTACTCAAAAATGACACCATGGATGTATTTTCCACGTGCTTTGTTGCGCGAAAATGTTGTCTGTATGGATGGATGAGCAGCGAAAACAATTTATCACACCGAAAGTTTTTAACTATTATATTTTAAGTTTTAAAATTATTACAAGTATAGAGCAGGTTTCACTTAACCTATTCGAAACTGAGACTTGAGTTGGAAACTGGCTATTTCTATCTGGAAATTTGAGAAAGATGCTCCTTGCTTTCAAATGTTTAGGGTAAACTTGCCTAAATCGTACTTGCGCGTAAATCGTACCACCTAAATTACTCAGAATTTATAAAACATACAGCTGCATCTGTCGGTGATTACTTGAGTTAGTGCTAAGCTAACCAGCTGTCATGCTCCGAAGCAGTGATTCCTGTGCGTGATGTAATTTTACTGATAAAAGTAAGTTTTTTTCAGTTTTCTTGTAAAATTTTAGCGTTTTTTTGTAAGCGTTTTTTAAGAATTCTATAAACATAAAATTGTGAATCATACGGTTTTCAAAAATTGCATTTCTTTACAATTCATTTGGTGGTAGAATTAGCGCGCAGCGTTTTCTCATAACCTAAAAGCGTTAAGTGTATTTTGAACAGGACTTTGAGCGTAAATCGTACTTTATTATACATCCTAATTCGTACCGGTACAAATTAGGAATACGAAATATAATTGTTTTCATTTTGGTTTTAACCAATCAATTTCTGTTTACACATATTTGTTAAGTTTTTAATTTTATCATTTTATGAGATGAAAAAATAAAAATAATTTTTTTTATCACACAATGGCAAAACGACAATATAATAAATGGTTTATGCAAAATATGAATGCAGCAATACAAGATTTTAATAATGGGAAATTACGATTCAATGAAGTATGCAGGACATATGGTATTCCAAAACCGACCTGTCGACGTCATTTAAAAGGTCTAAATTCTCAGAAAAAAATAAGAAGACCAAACGGAGCAAATGGAGACCGAATTGGTTCATCACATTTTGGATTTGGAGTCTAGATTCTTTGGGTTAAATATCACAGATTTAAGACATCTAGCATTTCAGTTGGCAGAAAAATACAAACTTCCGCACCGATTTAATAAGGTGCAAGAGTTAGCCTGTTGGAAATGGTATTACAAATTTATGAAAAACCACCCAGAAATTGCCTTAAGAATGCCTGAACCAACATCAATGGCACGATGTAAAGGATTTAACAAAAACATTGTATCAGAATTTTTCGACAAATACGAAAAGATTTTAGATGATTTCCAATTTGGACTTAACGAAATTTTTAACATGGATGAGACAGGTCTTAATACCGTTCATAAGCCTAAAATATTAGCGTTAAAAGGAAAACATCAAGTCGGAGCAGTCACTAGCGGAGAACGCGGAATTAACACTACATGCGTTTGTTGCATGAATGCTAGTGGAGATTTTATTCCTCCAATGTTGATATTCAAACGCAAAAGAATGACGGAAATCCTTAAACGTGGTGGCCCGCCTAAAACGCTGTACACATGTTCTGAGAGTGGGTGGATTGTCGCTTCAATCTTTGTCGAATGGTTACAACATTTCATAAATCATTTAAAATTGGAAAAACAATTGAATCATAAAATTCTAATAATATTGGATGGACATACCACACATACTAAGAATCTAGAAGCCATAAACCTTGCTAGAGAATACGGTATCGTAATGTTTTCTTTGCCGGCGCACACAACACACAAACTACAGCCTTTGGATAGATCATTCTTTAAGTCATTAAAAACTAATTTTAACAAAGAATGTGCAGTTTGGATGAGAAATCACCCTGGTGAAACAATCAAACAATCAAACATATCTGAAATTTTGGGAGTGGCATATCCTAGATCGGTTTGTATGGACATCGCTATGAAAGGTTTTGAAGCTTGTGGATTGTGGCCTTGCAACAGATGAAGAATATGTCGTGCTCGATGAAAATGAAATGACCCAAACTGATATGCAACTTTCGGATTCTGGTCCTTCCACAGCGAATATTTCTACAAATGCACACGATCAAACTGACGCATCCATCCGCACGGTTATTGAGAATTTGTCACCAATATATCGACTTCCACCGCAAACATCTAAGAAAACAAGCAAGGCCGTAGTCCTTACTGCGAGTCCATATAAAAATATGTTGGAAAATAAATTAGATGGACCAACAAAACCAAAGAAACGCTCTTTAATAGAAAAGACTTCTAATACTTGGTATTGCATTTTATGCCGCAAAGATGAAGAAAAATCAATGATTCAATGCATCAAATGCAACATATGGGTGCACGACAACTGTGTAGGTGTAGGAAAAGCCACATATTCTTACACTTGCCAACATTGCATCAGAAGTACGATTTAGGAATAGTGCGGTACGAGTTAAGACATATGGTCTTAAATAGTACATTTTTCATTATTTTTTAAATATTTTATTTTGAGTAGTAAAACAGGGGTTCTTTAAGTATTAACACATGTCTAATGTTTCTTCTATTAATAAAGTTTTAACAACCAAAATTTCATAGTGTTTGATGCATTTTTGAGAAATCTACAACAAGTTGTTCAAAACTGGTACGATTTGGGCAAGTTTACCCTACTTGACCATGAGAGTAAAAGATTTGTTTGATAAATAAAATGTATCAAATGAGGAATATACTTACTTAGGCTAGGTATCTAACACCTCCCGCTTTAAGAATTTTGATGCAATAATAATTTTATCAAAATTTAAAGACGAATTGACCTAAACATAAAAACTGAAAATATATTTTCAGTAAAACTTTAAATATACTAAAATCCTAATAATTATATTTATTATATTACATACAATATACGAAAATGGATATATAATGTAATTTTTTTAAAATATAAGAAATATATTTTTTTAAAAGGATTATATTTGAAAAGGTTAGACTTCTTCTTCGTCGTGTGAGAGGAACATTTGTCGAATACGGCACAGAACTTGCATTTACGTAATGAAATAGTCTATCATTTGCTTCATTTAGTTCTTCTAAATGGCGAAGTATCAACTCTGTCAAAGGGAGGTCGCTTTCGTTGTGGTTAGTGATAGATATTTGAATGGTAACCATGAACCCTTGTAGCAACAGCACATTAATATAACCTTAAGTGCTATAATTACAATTATTGCAATTGTTGTCGAAAACCATGACGTATATCTGGAAAAATACGATTACTTTATATTTTCTTCAAGAATTTCGTTAAATTGTTCCAATTTCTGCTTCGAATGGCGAAGTTCGTCTAAATTGTTACCATTGAACTTCATTAGGAATTTGTATTGGTTTGGACTTCTCGGTGATACTGGCAATAGTCGTCCTTAGTTATGTCGATTGATGGTATGAAGTTTGAGTTATTAGAGGTTTGGTTTGGTTTATATTTGCACATCAATTGTGTCTGTGTTTTTCTTGTTGAAAATAATTTGCTTATATGATACAGCCAAGAATTAGCGGATAAGGGATGCCACACCTCGATGTCTGCATTGTTGGTGCGGGATGGACAGTCCTCAGTAAGATTATCAGGTTGGTCGGTGCCCAAAATTGTTTGGCACACTGGTGTTTCGGACGCAAGGTAAACCACAATTTCGGAGCATAGATAGTTTTCGAGTGATATCTTTTTGCAAGCTGATAGATCCCTTAGTCGGCCGTAATGTGTTCTGGTTGCACTAAGTAGTAAGAAAGGGTAGGAAGGATTGATGTAGGAATAAACACTTGAATTTGTATAGGGAACAAGTAAAGGAATTAAGTTGAACAAATTATTAAGTTGTTTTTGGACTAGAGGAATTTTAATAACATAAATTAGTACTTCATGATCGTAAATAACGTTTAAGTCGCAAATTGAAAAGTATTTATAAATATTACCAATATCGGTAAGAGTTATGGGAAATTCCAAATTGTTGCTTAGTAGTTAAATTTTTAATAATTCTAATCACAAGTTTGTTGGAGTTGTAACAGGAGGATGAATTATTTTCTTTTTTGCGCATAATATAGAAGAGGTCTGAGTGTCACTTTCTTCACTCAAATCCGAAATCATTTAGTAAGTAAGTAAGTAAAGTTATCCATTATAATTTGCTCAAGTCAATGACGTCGTCACAAAAGCTAATAGGAAAGTCAGGTGTAAATTGGTTTAGGGATCGTAATCGTCACCTAGAACAAAAGTTTTCATTAAATTGGTGTAACAAGTTGTTTTTTTGTTTGGTTTTATTTGGACTTCGACCGTATTATTCATATTGATTTTAGTTGTCCTAAATGTGCCTTTAAAGTCAGGACTAAGTTTTTTGCTTAGACAGGGTTTAATAATTTTATTTTGAATGGAAACTAAATCACGAACTTTAAAATTTATTGGCCTAATTCTAATTGCATTATGCAATTTTAGTTGAGTCTAAATTTTAAATGGGTGTAATAGTCATCATATGAATATCGAAACTCGGGCGATTCTGGAACGGATGTTGGAATGTTGGCTTTGTGAGTTGAAAAACTAGTTCAAAATGTGTGAAATTTGTCGATTTGTGAATGTGTATGTTATAAGTGAACATTGCTAATTGCATGTATTCGTCTCAATTAGTTTGCTAATGTAGTGTTTAAGATATTCGTTTAGAGTGTGATGGCTTCTTTCTAAAGCGCCGTTGGTTTGAGGATTCATGACGTCGGCGCAGAAAACATAGCCTTGGTCTGAAAGAATGCTTTCTGGAATTCCAAATATGGTTATAAATTCTAGGAGTTTGGCATATGAGAATTTCGTGAGGTCGTCTTGCATGGTCAAAATGCATCTATGTCCATTTTCCGTCAATCTAAGTGGTCCTACTATGTCTCTTGCAAGCGTTTGACTGGATGTTCACTAGTGGTCGTGATTTCTATGCTTTGTTAGGTTTGCAATTTATTTTATTTATTTGATAAGACTGGTAGGACTTAATGAATTTTTTTATGTCATTTTTCATGTTTGGCCATTTAATTGATCATTTCCTGTTTTAAATTTTGACTTGTTTCAGCAGGGTTTTTGATATAAATTTTGAATATTTTGCGATTTTGCTAGTATTTCTTTGAGATTTTTGAGAGAATAAAATATATCTTTACACTGAAATTTATCGAAATGATTAAGTTTTGAAATGCATAGGAATGTTAATAGGTTGTTTTTATTTTTTAAAGTTATGGAATGGAGTAAATAACTTGGGTTGCTATGAGGTTTTCATAGCAAATTTTATTTTCGTCTAAATCTTTTTGAAAAAATATAATCTTTGAGTGTTTCGATATCTATTATTTTGGAATTCGTATAGTGGCATTTGACTAAATCATCATAGGTTTGATTTGGTTTATCGTTTATTGCTAGAATGGTGTTGCGTGACAATGCGTCAGCATTTGAATTTACTTTACCCCGTTTTTACTATATATAGTATTCGTACTCTTCTAGTTTAAGGCTCCAACGTAGTAACCTACTGCAAGGATTTTTGCAATTAAATAACCAAGTTAATGAACGATGATCAGTTAGGATGGTAAACTGTCTACCATAAAGATATGGTCTAAAATTATTGGTTGCCCAAATTATACTAAGTGCTTATTTCTCAGTGGTGCTATAATTAATTTCAGCTTTACTTAGAGTTCGAGAAGCGTAAACAGTCGGCAAGTCTTTTCCAACTTCAGCTTGTGAAAGAACGGCTCCTATTGCATAATCGGAAGCATCAGTAGTCAAGAAAAATTTTTCTTTGAAATCAGGGTATTTTAAAATTGGTTGAGTGGTAAGAATAGTTTTGAATGTTTGTAAAGGTTGTTCTGTTTTTTGGTTCCAATTGAAAGGTACATCTAAACCTAAAATTGTTTTATTTGTTTTGGATTTTGTGGAGTTGGATAGGTTGAAATAGTTTTAATTTTATCTGGATTAGGGGATACTCCTTTGTCGCTTATGGTATGACCTAAATAAATTACTTCTTTCCTCATAAATTCACATTTATCAGGTTGCAAAAGTAAATTGTTGGATCGTAAACTATAGAAAATTAATTTTATTTTTTTTGTATGTGGAGGTAAATAAAACATTGGAGTCCTTGTAATAAAGTCAAAACAGTATTTATAAGGCGTTGGAAAGTGCTTGGAGAATTTCGTAACCCAAAATGCATTCTAGTGAATTCATAGTGACCAAATGAAGTTGAGAAAGCAGTTTTGGGTATGTCTTCATCTTTCATTTTTATTTGTAGAAATCCATTTAAGAATCTCGCACTGTGACATTATTTAATTTTCTGTAGTCGATAACAATTCTCCATTTATTTTCAACTGAGGCGTCCATTATTTTTTGGTACAACCCAAATAGGGCTACAATAAGGAGAAACAGAAGGTCGTATAATGTCTTGTTCTAGCATTTTCTTTATTTGTTTGTCAACCTCCGCTTTATGTCTCGGGAAATCGATAAATTTTTGAACTTGTTGAGGTAGGATCAGTGACTGACATTTCGTGTTTTATAGTATTGGTCGAGGTTAATTGGTCATTTGGCAAGTAAAATATATTATTATACTCTACACAGATATCTAAAATCCAAGATTTTTCTTCATTATTTAAATGTTCAAACCTTAGGTTTTCTTTTAAAATATTTAGTCGGTCCACGGTAGACTACAGGAATTTGAAATTGGATTTAGATTAAGAATTATTGACTGATTTTTATTATATGGTTCTATAAATAATCTAATTTCTTCAATTTTAACTTTTTTGTTATTAGTGTTTAAGATGACTGACTTATTATTAAAGACCTTTAATAAAGTTTTTGCCTTCGAAATTGTTTATGTCAGGGTAAACACCTTCAGATATATTTTTATTTAAGATATCAATTTCGATAACAGTTTCTGAGCAAGGCTCTAGATAATAAACATTTGACTTTGACGGATTGGAATTTGTGTATATTGAAATAGGACAGGGTAAACAGTTTAATTTAAGCACATTTTTCTTGAAGCAAAGTGTAGATTCCTGACCTTTTAGGTAATCATTTCCTATTAAACCATCAAAGTGCAAATTTGATTTGGCTTTAACAATGTGGAATTTCACATCGAAACATTTGTCGAAAATGTGTAATGGGATTTTTATACTGCCTATAATAGAAATAGGGAATTGGAACTTAAACCGTTTAAGGTTAAGATTTCAGAAAGGTTTGGTAATTTAATAAGAGAAACATTAGCTCCAGTATCTATCAGAAATTTGAATTCTATACCTTGAAAGATAGTTTTGACGTTCTCGTTTGTCAATAAAATATCCATGTTTTTTGGATTTTGAATATTATTAGAAATAGAGTTAGAACTGGAAGTATTATCAGTCTTTTTTGGAACAGAGAGTGCAACATGATTTGGTCAAGTTGCATCGGAATATTTAGACTGATTTTGACCAATTTTGTGGTGAGTATTATCCAATTTAGAAGAAGGTGGGTGAGAATTTGTATTGGAAAGTCAAATTTCAGTTGGTTTTACGTCATTTGAATGTCGGACTCTACAAGTGAGGCGGTCACTTGAGAGTTGTTGGAGTTTAAATTAAAATTCACTTGTTCAGAATTTCCTACTCTATTGACATTGTTTGGCTGAGAATTATTGGAGGCTTTATTTCGTCTTTTATTATTATACTCTCGTTTTCTACATTCCGAAATTAAATGTCCACGATTGGTGAAATTATTTTTTTACAGAAAGTACAATATTTTAAAGAAGATTTAGAACGAAATTCTTGGTTTGAAATATTAATTGCTCTTTCTTCTTTAATAGCTTTAGACAACGCTTCTGAAATATCAGTTGGGTCTTGAGCTCTTAGAAACCTAGAGATATCTGGTTTTGAATGACGAATGAAGTGGCTAAGTGACAATGTGTCAATTTTACCTAACTGCTCATCTTTTGTTTTATAATTCATGAAACTAAGTGACCGCGTTGTCAATTTATCAAATCTCTCATGAAATAAGATTACAGATTCAGATACACCTTGTTTCATGGTATTCAATTCTTCCGTTAGTTGAACGTAATGTTTTCGGTCCTGATAGAAAGTATTTAAAATTTCCTTAAATTCTACATGTAGGTTTTCCCTTGTAATTGGGACCTAACACTGCCTGTTAAACGTGAAATAATATAAACAAAAATATGTTTTTGTTGTTCATCAGAAGCAAGCTTGACAGCATTATTACAATTTGTAATGAATTCATGATATTCTATTCTTTTGCCATCAAAAGATTTCGGAATAAGAGAGCACAAATAGCTGAAATTCGGTTGAAATTGTTAAGTGATTAACAAAAAATTATTTAATTTGTATTGTGTCAATTTAAGGTCAAAGAAAAATAAAAGTTATTAGAATACATGTTAATGGAAAACTCTAATGCTTGTACAACCAAAACAAAACAGTCGATAAGAAAATCGTATAACTTACGGATTCCGTAGAACCTTTCCGTTACTGCTACAGAAATTATAGCTGATGGTATCCACTTCTGACACCAAATTTTTGTTGTGTTACTCAAAAATGACACCAGCTTCCTTGCACGAAAGTGTTGTCAGGATGGATGGATGAGCAACGAAAACAATTTATCACACCGAAAGTTTTTAACTATTTTATTTTAAGTGTTAAAATTAAGTATAGAGTCAGTTTCGCTTAACCCATTCGAAACTGAGACTTGAGTTAGACTGGCTTTTCAAATGTTTACTTGACCGTGAGAGTAAAAAGTCTTTTCATGTGCGATTAGAAGTGATGCTATTAAAAGTGTATATGTGTTTTATTTAGCAGATTAAATTATAATTTTGTCTACTCCGCTTAAGATTTGTTTGATAAACAAAATATATCAAATGAGGAATATACTTACGAGCTAATTAAGTTTTATATAAATTGTAACAAAGTTAAATCTTCCAATAAGGCATTAGCATAAAGAAAATAATAACATGGAAATTTTAGGATAGGTTTC